TTAGTAAAAACTATCGAGAAATGATAATTTTTTAGTTGATATTACTATCGCTATGAATTATTTTGGATTTAAGCAATTTGTCGGTAGGATTATTACTGACACAGAAGGCGGGTAAACAAACAGTTAAAAGAAATACCGGAAGCTGTAATCAAATACATTTTTCATGACATTTTCTCTCCTCTTCAATTTTTCGACCTCATGAAAACGATTGCAGATCACGTAATGAATCACACCTAATTCCTTTAAGTTTATTTGAATCGGCTGTCTACTGTAGTCATCATTTTCCGCAAAATAATTTTTACCCAAGTGGTCAATAAAACAGTATTTTTTCACTTTCCGACGTGGTAAAATTTTCCGAAATATATGAAATATTGCAAATATGCAAATATTCTAAACTGTTGATCAAAGGTGTCCCACTTTTCAATGGTACTTTCAAAGGTTGCACCCCCTATATTAGCTATGTTACTACGTAATTGATTAGCTTTCATTGAAAGTTTCTGAATTAAGACTTGTGAATATGCTTAAAAGTATTTGTCCAGGTCCCGACATTTACGATTTACTTGAGTAAAACATCTTCTCTCCTCATTCATACCTAGAAAATTGTGCTTACAAATTGATTATTGAAATTGCTTTTATGCATAATTGACAAGTCAATAAAATTGAGAATGGAAATGGGGAATGTGTCAAAGAGACAACAACCCGACCATAGAGCAGACAACAGCCGAAGGCCACCAATGGGTATTCAATGCAGCGAGAAACTCCCGCACCCGGAGGCGTCCTTCAGCTGGCCCCTAAACAAATATGTATACTAGTTCAGTGATAATGGACGTCATACTAAACTCCAAATTATACACAAGAAACTAAAATCAAAAATGATACAAGACTAACAAAGGCCAGAGGCTCCTGACTTGGGACAGGCGCAAAAAATGCGGCGGGGTTAAACATGTTTTTTGAGATCTCAATGTATGTTTTTAGCAGTTTTGCTGATGAAGATGTCAGTTCCAATTATATTTGGCAATGTAATTAGGTCATCAAATATTATATTATCGACAACCTCATCTATTGGTTGGGGTACAGGTACAGCAACTTGAACATCATTGTCTTCAAATCTTGGTGGAGATTATTCTTCCTCGTGCAGTTGCTGTCCTCTCCTTCTGAAGTTGTGAGATGGTGCAGCTAGGTTATTTTCATGTCTACAAGGTGTTGGCATTTATTTTTCAAATGAACATGGACAATTATAATCAATTTTCAAATTAAATAATTATCTATTGTGTCATTTTGACTGATTTTGGATTCGCATGGAAAATGATGTTTACATAATCGACGCTTTCAAGGTCGACACACCCGGTCTCGCTTCTTTTGGAGTTCTTGCGATTCCTTCGATTTTTGTTGTTTGTTGATTTGTCTTCTAACTCGATTTTTGAGATTTGAACATCGGTAATCTACTGTTGTCTAAATTTACCCACTTATAATTAATTTATTTTACGTATAGACTATCAAGACGTGTGCCTTATAAAGGAAGTAATTGTAAGTAGACGTTTTGTTTTTGATTCAGACAACTTTTGAATATAATACAATTGAGAATGGAAACGGGGAAGGTGTCAAAGAGACAACAACCCGATCAGTTTATTTCATTATAACGTCAATCAACAATTATTTCAAAGTATTCATCTTGTACAACCCAGGATCTCCTAATACGAGTCTGCATATAATTTCGTTAAGGTGGGTTATCAGTATATATTTCCTCGGGTAGAATTTTCTTATACTTTGCTGAAATGTAGATTTTACCATGCTTTTTTTAGAATATAATAAAAAGTATGGGTCACCGTGCCATTTTTCAAGCTACAATTCGTGCAAAATTGCCCAATTTTGCATAGATTATTCATAAAAAAACACTTTTTGGTGAATAAAAAAAAAAATCTGTGAGATAGAATTTTGAAATAAAATATGAGAAGATAGATTTTATAATATGCTTTAAGGAAATAAAGACAAATGTCACCGAACTTGTTTTCTTGCTACAAGTAAATAATGAAAATTCCTTTAACATTCCTTTATGAAAAAAAATACTGCTGGGGTTAACTCCATTTAAATGGCTAAGTTGAAAATTGATTCGAACAAACACAAATATTTGGTATTTGTTCAAAAAGTCAAATTAATGCAATACATCACGTATTTTTTTCAAATAAATAGTCTTGTACATTAAAATGCTTATCTCTCTCAAAATTTGCAGATTTAAGCAAAGAACTAGACCAATTGTGTACTGCTAGTTTACAATCCAAGATGGCGGTATACAGTTTATCTACCTTAAGGAGATAATGGAAGTCCTACTGTAATTGTCATATAGATATCAGACTTTTATTATGTAGATGGATTGCCTTTTCTTTAAGGTGGTATGGGAGTATACATGAAAAATGATAGAATTTGTTCATACTTTGCCAAAATTTAGTATATATTGTTATATTTTCATAATTATAATAAAAATGATAGGTCACCGCAATTTTTTTCAAGCTACAGGTTGTGAAAAAAAGACACAGGATCCGCTTATCCTCCCGGACCACCTAAGATCACCCCAGTTTTTGGTGGGGGTTCGTGTTTATCAGTCTTTAGTTTTTTGTGTTGTGTTTTGTGTACTGTTGTTTGTCTGTTTGTCTGTTTGTCTTTTTCTTTTTTAGCCATGGCGTTGTCAGTTTATTTTCGACTTATTAGTTTGAATGTCCCTTTGTTATCTTTCACCTCTATTGTATGGATTATACAGGAAAAACATCATTATGTGAATAAAAGGTAAACTAAATGATAGAATTGTGAAATAAAATATGAGAAGATACCTCTTAACAAATGCTGTCTGAACATTAAACGAAAAGATAGAGTCACCTTACATTTTCTCCTGCTATAGCATAATACGCTAATTTCAACTGTAAAAAAATGAAAATCTAACTCTAACTAATCTTGATTTGTAAAATAAAAGTTATTATAAGTTCGAACCTTATAAATTTGTTCATTTAAATGAAATTTCACATAAGTTATTTGCATTCCTGCATCAAATTTTGCTGACTTGATTCAAAATTCAGACCTATTGTGTTCTAGTATTTTACAATCCAAGATGGCAATAGACACCCCTACTACCTTTTTAATCTAAATAAACTTACTTAAAAAAATAGAACACAATATATCCTATGGTCATTTTAACTTTTAATTATCGTTTTAGATATAAATGAATGCAAATCATCTCCATGTCACCAAGGTACTAGCCAAGATAATATAAATGGATATTCCTGTAGATGGGATCCTGGATAAGCAAACACTGATTGTGGGTTAGGTAAGTAATATTTATCGTATGCTTTCAATTGTTTAAACCCTTATCTAAGTCAAATATGTCCCCTTTATAGATATAGTTTCTATGTACTGGCTTTTTTTGTCATCTTAATTACTGTATAGTGTTCTTTTTATTTGTCTTTGTATATTTTTAAACTTTACTGTTAAGTCCATTTTTTGGTAATATCCTTTTGAAGTGGCTCGGTATTTATACATCCCGCCATTATGTCATTGTGCTGTGGACTTTTTTGTATTCTTGTCTTTCGTTTTTGCTTGTACTTTGTCTATAGAGTGTCTATATGCCATTTGGTTTTTCTTTGTTGAAATAGTTATTTGTTTTATAGTGATTAAGATGATAACACAGTGTTGACTGCTGTATCCAAATTCTTGATATGTTTACCTATTATGTCTGTTTGTTTTGCTCGCACATTGTTGTCGATATAATGGGATTCTATGCTACTGTCATACAAGTGAGAGGTTTAGCTAGCTTGTCAGGAATATGACAGTTGTTTCCATTCGTTTGATGTGTTTGAGCTTTTGATTTTGCCGTTTGATAAAGGACTTTCCGTTTTGAATTTTCCTTGGAGTCAGGTATTTTTGTTATTTTACTTTTAATTTCCAGGTTGAAAAAAATCGGCCTATCCTAACTATAGATAATATCAAGTTTTTTTTTAATAATGGTAGAGTAAAATTCATCTGTGAGTAACAAAATGAAGTTTTTAGTTGAGTGAGCTTAGCGAGCGATTTATGAAAATGCTGTATATTTTATCGAGCTGTCGTTATGTTACAGTATCAAAGTAACGACAATCTTAAAATTGATGAATCGGATTGTATTTGTGTGTTTTCCATTATAGTAAGAATAGCTTTTCTTAGTTTAACAGCAAAAGAAGAGGACTTGATATGTTTAGGTTTATATAAAAATAAGGAGATGTGGTATGATTGCTAATGAGCCATCACTCCACCAGATACCAAATGATGTAGAAGTTAACAACTCTTAACTCATCAACGATACTGAAAATACCAGGTTATAGTTATTAAGGCCAGGTTATATTTGACATCACTAAGCCATGAGATGTAATGTAATGCCGAACTGAGTAGGATAGTCAGCGCTTCTGCGTTGACATTTAATAGCATTAATACGACGTTCTGTGTAAATTTACTGTTGATAAAATATTAAAAGTATAAGTAACATTAAGGTCTTTCTACCGCAGGCATGCAATGCCTTAGCCAGATTTGGCACAAGGTGTTTTGAAAATTTGGTTGTCAGTGCTCTTCCAATTCGTTATTAATTTGACCATCTATCTTTTTTGAGTCAATTGCCACTGATGGGTTTTCGGTAGATAAATCAAACGTCTGGCGCACTAAGTTATAGGCGTTGTATCTTTGAGGAATTTTTATTATAATGTCAAAAACTAACGACTATACGAAAATTAAAGATTGAGTACAATGTGACACACCTGTCTGTTTGGAGTGAAGAAAAAAATCAACATCATATTTTTTTATAAGTTATTAAGAATAAACAGGCAGCGACCAGTCGTATATTCGTCGTACACATTTAGTCGAGTAGCATGAACCTTTTGGTTGTTTAAGACAGACAGTACACTTGAAAACAACTTGAACTGAATACAGAATAATTTTATAGCACGTGTATAAATAAAAAGCCTCTTCAACCTAAGTAATGAATAAACATGCTGTTACATTATATAGATATAAATGAATGCAGTTCATCCCCATGTCGCCATGACACTTGTCAAGACCATGTCAATGGATATTCCTCTATGTGTGATCCTGGATACACAGGAACGTACTATGACCAGGGGAAGTCAGAATATATTTAGTTATCATGTTTTTCTACGTTATTTATCTAGAATTTCGGCTTTCTGACAACGAAAAGATTTTACCAGACCATTGTAACCCGCGGTTATTAGGTGTACCATATTCTTCTAAAAAATTATAGAAAAATATTAAATCTTAGCATGGTTAATCTCATATATTTTCCTAATTTTATTCATCAATAATACATTAGCCCTCATACATGATACAACTATTTATCTTAGCAACTAGTAACGTTGTCTATTTTGAGTTCCATCTTTCTTTCTAGTGTACAAATTCATTTAAGTATAATCTAATTTTGGATGTAACGCGTCTTCTGATTGGCTGACGTTGTTTTGTTTATCAGCTCTAAGACATAATTTTGTCATGTGACCGTGACGTCATCAACGTTTTTTCATGGTTTACTCCGGTTTAAAATGGAATTTAGAATTATATTATAAGAAATGACTGTAATATTTTTTCTGTCTATTCGAAATAACATAAAAAATGTGGTGCACACTTTAAAATAACCCGCTGCGCGGGTTATTCAGTGTGCACCACATTTTTTATGTTATTTCTTCATAGACAGAAAAATATTACAGTCATTCCTTAATTGAAGGGGTTTCTACGCTACTTTTATTTAATTTACACGTAGTTTTTTTTTTTTATTTAACAAGTATGTAACACTTTCATCAAATTGCAACATTGCATGATCCCGAACGGAACTATTGTTTAATATTCAATGTCTAATAATAACTTCTATTGGCAGAGAATTTTAAAGTGCAGATTAATCCCCGCTGCCACATAATTTAGGTCGGTCTGTTTACAAAAACCATTAAACGGATATGCTTTGGTTTAATCTAACACACTTTCAGTGAACAGCGGTATGCTACTGTTGTCTTTATTCATTTTAAAATTTCAAGCAATATTAACTATTATGTTTTTTTTAAGAAAACAAAATGAGTTACCACAATAATATTTCATTCGACACTTAGGATGCATTTCGTGAATGGTTATCGTAAAGTGTTGTTTTAAAGGTTGTAAGTAATAATGGTTTCTTGGAACATAAAAAAAAACTCAATGATAAAAACATCTTACGATTTTTCTAAAAGTTTAACATACAAACTTAACGCGAAAAAATGTTAGCGAGGGGAAGGTATTTCTGGGAACAAGCAATTAATTAATTTATTTATATCGATCGACATTTTTCTAGAGTATATTCTGACACGGTTATTGTGTTGATGCTGGTAGGCATATTAAATAATTTTCTTCTGTTTACACCTACAGCCAAATATTTTAATTGCGAAAAATGATCATTATTTATGTCTATTTTTTATAGTGTGTTACTATTACATTGATAGCATACATAACCCTGTTTAGTTTGAAGTACGCTTATAGTACTTTTTTAAAGGGACCTAGTAAACAGTGCATTTTCATGATGCTAATAAAAAAGCTACTATGTGGTTTGAAACATATTTTAAGTTCGCCTTGTCAGAAGGGACAGCTTAAGACATTTTCATCACTTCGTGTTCGTGATTTACGATAAAATCAAATTTTTAAATTGAAGAAAAACTGCTATCGCAATGAAAAACCCTGCACAATATATGCTAGAAAGGCTAATGGTTAATATTATCATATAAGTTCTTTCTACTTTTAATGCATAAATGCAATTACAACTCAGCTTACGATATGGACTGAAAAAAATAGGCGACAGATTTTCTAAAGTTTTCAAAGGTGCAGCACCTAAGTCAAAAATTGATCAACTGTATGCGTGATCCGTTTGCTATCTTATGTAGCAACACATTCAGATTTAAAAAAATATATGAATTAACTAAATACGTATATGACCATTGAAGATTGCCATTTTGCATATCTTTTGCGAATCTCGTTGTACTGTCAATAGTAAAGACGGGAATGTTTTATTGTTAACACAACAAATGTGATTGTAGAAGGAATTAATTGGACTGATTTTGGTTTTTAATAAGCTTCTACTATGTTTTCAGAAAATATGGATTTTTCTCCGCCGTCTGTCGACATAATGCGAAACTTTATGTTTTCTGCTGTTTTAGGTTTTGAAATTGATAATTGTATATACATTTTAAATACATGAACATAAAGAAAATGGAAATTAAAATAGGGAATGGAGAAGACCCTTAAAATCTTTAACAAATTTTAACCGAAGAAAGAAAGTAAGAAATGGAGATAAAAGATGACATTGATATTTAATATCAATAGAAACACCAATGTTTCAAAGACGAAGGCAAAATGCGAGTTCGTTAAGGAAAGGGAATTGTAAAAGGTATATACAGATTTATAGCATAAATTCCTTTCCTTGTAAATTAAAAATAAGAAGATGTGGTATGATTTCCAATGAGACAACTCTCCACAAGAGACCAAATGACACAGAAATTAACAACTATAGGTCACCGTATGGCCTTCAACAATGAGCAAAGCCCATACCGCAGTCACCTATAAAAGGCCCTTATATAAAGTAAAAGAAATAGGACATTAATATAATGGAATATGCAGACAGCTCTCTCACAAGCAAAAAACCCTAACTATAAAAATATAAGGGCATACACTACAGACACGGGGATACATTCTTCTGCATCCACACAGCACGAGTAACAAACCCTGCAGTAAATATAAAAATAAGAAGATCCAACATCCACATTAATTCAAATACCGTAGATTTTTTTAATCATGCTCTCGTTTCAAACTTCATCATTTTAGACATATATAATTGATTACACATTGTTCAGATATAGTTTATGATAGCGTAAACATAAAAAAAACAAGTTGTTTTCTTTAAAAAAAAGAAAAGCAACACGTGAACCCGAGTCCACTGACTGGTCATCAAAAAATTGTTGTTGATATTTTTTTTTGCTTTTGATATGAAATAATTGACTGTGAATAGAATAAAGTAATGTGGATATCAAAACACCTTTATTGAAAATATGTAATTGCTTGTAGATTTTTGCACAAGTCAATTGAAAGCAATGTTGGATTTTAGTTGTGAATATTAAAGTGTATATATACAGCTATCATTTGAATTTACCTTATAAGGCTTGACTATTTTATTTATTACTTGGGAGTGTACATTATTTTTTCTTAATCCGATTGTAAATTCCAGTTTCTGCAAACCGGATGTCTAATGCAAATTGCACAAACCAATCGCAATATGAATTTAAGCACTCAGTTTGCTTCATAATCTGGATGCATTTATTTTATCTACCATATCTTCATATTATTTTGTTTCCGTGATGCCTTCAATTATTCTTATACTCGTTATTGAAGCTGTCTGTACTCATGGTAGATGTATATATAAATTTAAAGCCCAATTTCCATGTGAAGTGAAACCCTGTGGCATGCAACTTATAAGAAGGTTTCGTATATTTTTTTCTTGAGAGTAACACACCAGCTTCATTAGGACCTCTTATATACTGACAATTATTTTGGTCTCATAAAAAATCTCAAATTTTAAGAATTTCCTGAAGTTACTTAAATCAACCCAAATATTCTACAGTAAAATTTGGTTTTGAAGAATATCTTATTTTCAGAAGTTTTATGAATACCTGAACATACTCTCAAAAGGAACCAATTTATATAAAAAGAAAAGATACCAGGATTAAAATGTTGAACGCCAGACGCTAGTTACGTCTACAAAAGACTCATCAGTGACGCTCGAATAAAAAAGTTAAAACGGCCAGATAAAGTATGAAGTTGAAAGGTATTGAGGACCCAAAATTTCGAAACAAAGGTTTTGTCGAATACATCCAAGGTAATCTATTCCTGGGGTAGAAAATTCATAGCATTTCGAAAATGCCAAAGTTTATAAAAGGACAGTCACAAAAAAAAAAAGAAAAAAGAAATGAGAAACAGCTAGAGGTCAGAATACCTTAAGTAATGATGACCATGCTTGAAAGTCACATGTCAAACTCTTACTGCCGTGTCCTGAATTTAGATACTGAGAAATGCGAAAATTCACATTCGCGAGTGAAATTAATATTTATGCATGCACGTTGTTTCATGCGCAAGAAATAGTAAATAGAAAGCATACGCACTGATACTCTGTATAAAAATACGCATTTGCGTCATCACATATATTAATATAGGCTCAAATCTATTGTTTAAGGTAGCACTACAGTCAGAATTTTCTGACTCCAACCAACAGTCTTTAAAGATTAATTTCTCCAAAACTACTCAATGAATTTTTAAAATCTTTAACTCATTTTAAAGCTGAAATATTATTCTTTCTTAATCCATAAATAAATTTATTTTTGGTATAATAAATCTCAAAAATATAGCTCATTATTTGCCAAAATAGTGCTCTTCCAACTTGGATGAAAATGGCACATTCAGGTCAAATGGTAGTAAAAATTTGTTTTCATCCCTTTAATCAACCATATACAAGCTGCAAAACCGTGTCTAAGATTTTTGATATATGCCTTCAGTAAGAAGATATATTGATTTAACTGCTGGGTGCCAAACCTCATTTCACCTTTCATCTTTGGAGACCTATAAATTCATTTAGAAACAAATTATCCAAAAACTGGGACACGGTATTGTAGAAAATACTCCCTTTAATCACATATATCAAAGTCAAGCCAAAGGGGGTACCCATAAAGTTTATATTTTCATTTTTTTCATACAAATCTCATGAAAAATTGTTCTGAGAAATGACCTAAAAACGGAATTTCCCCCTTAAAACCCCTATAAATGCAACATAAATACAAAATTCCACTGGGAACACCCCAGGAGTGTTCTGACACCATTACTCTAATAATAAAACCACACACTTTGTCTCTTTGATGCTCTAATGCTGTAAATTTTGCATTATGTGTGGCACTGTGCAACACTAACTTGGCATTTGGCGGGAGTTTGACGTCACAGATTTGACCAATATCTGTGATGTAGTAATTAAATATTGACAAAGCTCCGCCTGTGTCCAGACAGTCTAAGATAAGAGAATAACAGGATTGACCAGCTGCATATAATCAATATTTTACATCATTATTCTCACTATAAAGAATAATTTTCATTTGTATTTTAAAAAGTAATATACTATTACTGAAATTAGCTTTAACATTAAAATTGTGCATCAAAAGACATGTTCATAAAAAGATCCAAGACCAACCACTTCTTTAAAAAAAAGACACTCCCACATGATTTTTGAGTTTTATGGAATTGAAAAATTTCACATAAACTTAACATTGGTTAAAATGCCTAAAATTGTATTTAAATGTAGAAGACCAAATAGAAGAAATTTAAACAGGCAGTCAGAGGCTTTCAAAGATACTTTCACACTCTTTTCCTTATTTTTTTTTTTTCATTTTTTGTAGATTTCTTCCCTTTAGATTTTTTCCTTTTCATATCTTTTTCTTTTTCTCTGTTTATAAACATGTTATAAAAAATTACTTTTGTTGCAATACAATGAGATAAGACCACAATATTTATCTTGTTGTCAGGGATTAACAGCTGGACACTGGTATCAACAGATGATTGACATATTAGCCCCTCCATAATGCCTATATATTTAGATTAATTGCCATGTGCTTTTGTTTACATAAGTTCATTATCAATTTACTCCCTGTTGTGATATGATAATGACTTTGGGATTATTACAAACTGTACAGAATAATATTTAATTCAAAATTGTGTGATAAAAAAAATATCTTCAAAAAATCATTGTTAGACTGTAGTGCTACCTTAATAGTTGAATTCGGATATCAAACAACCTACCTTAAATATTTTGACTCCGAATTCATTGCCCTTTCATCCGGAATTTGGGTGAACGCAAACCGATAGTGTGTCGTGTGAACAGGTTGATATATAATGTAAATGAATCAACGTGTGTGTAGGATAGCTGGTCAACACAATGAATACAATTTTCAAAATATTGACCATATTGCACAGATTTAGATGATATAAGGTTGAACTATTAAAAACAAAACAAAAAGATTTGAAATTTAATTAACATACATTAATGTTAATGAATCTTTTCCGAAAGTTAAGAATATAATTTCAATAAATCTGGGACTATTATACTAACGGTTAGTATAATAGTCCCAGAATAAACACAAAGTATTTACTAATGGACATTTTATTTATTAAATCAATCTCTTCTTAAAGTCTTACTTTCCACTATATGAATATATTGTTATACAAAATTAAGCAGAGACTAATAAAATCATACTAAAACAGTATACAATAATTAACGTAGTAATTAAATTTTTTAATAATTGTTGTAAAATATTAATTATGTTTTTTGTGAGATGCAAGGACTTAAATCCTTATGAGTTGAAACCATGCAAGCATGTTTCATTCACTACCGTTTAAAATTTAGATACTTACTTATGTGTACGCATCCCTGCTCATTGGTGCTCATATGTTGCATATAATTTTCATAAATGTATTCACTGTTCAAACCTGTGGGACATAATACATGTATAACATTTTTAATTATATTCTATTAAGGAAACATTTAGTCTCAGTTTAAACTTAATAATTTCAATGAATATTCTCTTGGTCTGGTAGTATCTATTAATTAGATTAATGATTTTTGACAGAAACAAATCCTTTTGTTTATTTATCTGTCTGCTTTCCGACCACTGTGTCTCCGACCTAAGATAAATATTTTTAACAGAAATATAGGTTTGTTAAATTTCTTCATGCATTCCGACAGGCTATATGATTGAAATATAAAATATCACGTGGTAAACGTTCATAAATAATCAGTTTATTCTGGGACATAATATATCAATAAATTATTCCCAGGTTTATTGTCACAATGCACAATAGCATGTTGTATTAAATACTACACACACTGCACACAACGCGTACAGGGAGCGTCTCAAAACATGAGTTATGATTGTGTTATTATTATACTTGATATTTAATAAACATTCGCATTATTAAAACACATATGTTTTGTCAAAAGGCAAATAGGTTCCAATATGTAAATGATTTTTGACTGCAACCTAGTCTTTATTTTTTTTACTTTGAGATCTACAAATGAGCTTTGATTGATGAAAAATACAATGTCACGTGGTAGCCTATCCATAGAGGGACCGTATCAAAGACATAGATAACTACCTATATAAATGATCGATAATTTTCGAGAGGTTCCGAGAATTTTGTTTGCGAAGATTTCCGAATGGCCCATATAAGCTACCAAAACTCACCAATATATAGGCGTGAACCCATCAGCGTGTTCACGCAAAAAAAGCAACACCACGTTTAGCGCAAGGTAATTACTTTATTGTGCTGACATTTTTTTACGCTACTGCGCCCTCAGCATGACCTTTAAATAAATAATGTTTTGAAAATTTCAAGACAACACAACGGCATACCTTGGTATCCATCTTAATTGGTTACTATACCTGTGTGAACCACCAGAAATTCCTGGTTCTCTTGACTTATAAATGATAGCGTTAGATTAAAAATCACGGGTTCGATAGTTTGTTTAGGATTGAAAATCTATAATTTGATTCCACAATTTCAGGACTTCTATAGTTAAATTTACATTGAAAGTCATAAACTTCTGAATATTCAATTTTCGATATATTCTCAGAACGTGTTTTAATCGTTACAATTCTTACAAACGATAAGTTTATGGGTGTTGTAATGTGTTATCTGTTGATTGTTGCCTTCTTCGTTCCTTATATTTTGTGTGATAATGAATGTGGATCAGGATTTAATTTCTGTGACCTTGGAATGCATTTACTTTGGACAAAATGCGCTCGACCTTGTGAAGGAATAAGACAAAGAGAAACATTGATATGCTGTCAAAAAACCCAGCAAACTGCTTTAAGTAGAAACGATTGTTTAAAAATGTGTAATAAGACATTAAAAGATGTAATAGAGGAAATGCCGTGTGCACAACAATGCATGCATGGTACCTATGACAATAAATTAATATGTCATTGTCAAAAAGGATACGGAGGACAATGCTGTGAAAAAGGTATAAAATATTTAGTAACTGGGTCTTTGTCAAGTTAAACTATGCTAAAGTTTTTTCAGTTACTTTCGTGAACAGATACCTAATGATGTATCAAGAATTGATTTGGTTTGCAAGTTTGGCTGTACCTGTAGAAAACTTATTTCAAACGGAATAGCACATCCTAAATTTTACGGTGATGTTGTTAACCGATCCCGGAAATTTAAATACGATCCGGGTAAACTTATCAATCCTTTAAATAAACTTATTCTAAAAGGTTACCAATTCAACACTGTAATTAAATCTTTGAATATTGTTCTTATTGGTATAAATATTGATTTTGTTTTCAGTAGATTAAAACCATACTAAATATTATTGTTATACACATATGTACTTTCACGGTACTACAATCTGTCGATACCTATATTTTGGCATTGCACAAGGTCATGTTTTTCACTGACTGTTAATGACGTCTTTACACTAAATCCATTGGATGTTTGATGTGTATTAATTGGTATTTTAGTCTAAGATAAATGATTTTTTTATTAGTTGTTATTGGCTTTGAATTAGCTGTCAGTAACTGCGAGTTCTCTCAGATCTGTACTTAGTGTCTTTTTTATTGTTAGGGATGAGGGATCGATAAATACCCTGCCACGCCCGGTCTGCGTTTTTTGTTTGGTGTTTTTCTGCTTTGTATTGATCTGATGAGTTAAGCCTTTTTCAACTGATTTTTATAGGTTGTTCTTATGTTGTGCTGATACACCACTGTCACACAGGGTAGGGGGAGGGTTGAGCAGTCACAAACATGTTTATCCCCGGCACATTTTTGTATGTGTCTGTCCCAAGTCAGGAGCCTGTAGTTCAGTAGTTGTCGTTGGTTTATGTCTAGCATATTTGTTTTTCGTAAATTGTTTTGTTATAAATTAGGCAATTAGTTTTCTCAATTGAATTGTTTCATATTTTTCATGTCGGAGCCTTTTATAGCCGCCTATATGGTATGGGTTTTCTCATTGTTTTAGGCCGTACGGTTGCTTATAATTGCTTATATCCGCTTCATTTGAAATTCGGTGGATAGTTGTGTTATTGGCAATCATACCACATCTCCTTATTTTAATATTTAGACAGACAGGAATGGAACAAATTTTCAAAAATTTAGTTATCTAAACTCTTTCCCTTCGTTGTTGAATTGGCTTTTGTTTCGATTATAGTGCCCATGGTGAGTCTTCGGTAAATGAAAAGCGCGTCTGGTGTACTAAATCATAAGCGTTGTGTTCGAGTGTAAAATATTAACAGTCATACGAAAACTGAAGATGCAGTTCGAACACAGTTAGTCTAGTATCAATATATATTTTTTTAAAACTTTTTTAAATAGTATAAGAAGCATTGTATGTTTTGATTTGCTTTAAAAGATGATGACTTAAAGAAACTAGTTAATAGTTTCTCAACTTTTTTAGTTTTTATTCAAAACATGATACTTCACTATTTCTTAAGACTAAAAATAAAGTTAAACTCTGTCACTACAATAAAACTATTTCAATTTCATGTAATTGAATGTAGACATTTTGGCATAAATCAGACCTACCAAACTTAAGTTTTGATGAGAGTAATAACTTACCCTAAATTTTCTGCCCTCTGTCACATTTATGAGACACTAAGCAATATTAATTTCATAAATCTCAAACTTTATCATGCAGTAAGAAAATAAAAGAAACTGATTATAATAGACAAAGATAGTTATCACTAAGATAAATAAAAGTATGAAATGTAATGTCAGTTTAAAGAAAAATGTCAATTTTAATGAACATAGCATTAGGAGTGAATTAGAATAAGCATGCACAGATTTATGCAAGTAATCCCCTTCAAAGTAATAATCTGTTTGGATTTCATGTGTATGCAAATAGTAGAATTTGTTAAGACATCCTTACTTTATCAAACTTTGTGAATTGTTATAAAACTGACTGAAAACATATTCTTTCGACTTAATTTATGATAGCTTTAGATTAAAAATCATTAGTTCAATAGCTACATGTAGTTATGAATTTTATATTTATAATTCGATAAAACAATTTCAGGGCTAAAATATTTAAACCTTATTCTGCTTACTTTATCAAATTGACACAAAATAGTCATCTTAAACATCATAAATACTAATCTGAGTCGTTCAATACAATAAATAGCATATTCACAGATTATGTTTACTGTCTTACAAACTGTTGTGAACCGAAAAAAAAATACTTTAAAGTAGATGCTGCTGAACAGGTTTTCAAAAAAAATCATAAATGTCCCGGTCTTACTGGTGACATTAATTAACTATATTTTTGCATTAAACAATGTCTTGCTTTCCTCGGACTGTTTATGAAGTCTTCACACTGAATCTCCTGGATATCTATTGATCATTACTTTAGTATGGGAAACATGGCTTTTCCATTAATCAGAGTGTTGATTTCTCGTTTCAATAGTTATACCTTTTGTCATGTCGGGGCCATTTATAGCCTACTATACGGTATGGGTTTTCCCATTGTTGAAGGACGTTCGGTGACTATAATTGCTTACTTCTCTTTCACTTTGTCTCTTGTGGATAGTTGTCTGTTTGGCAATCGTACAATATCATTTTTTTTATATTATTTTAAAGTACCTTTCGGTATCTACGAGTGAACTTAGATCGGTAATTTGTGTCTCTTGTCTTTTTGTTACTTGTCTTTATAGTGCTTCGTGTCGATCTGATGAGTCATTTCTTTTTCAACTGATTTTAACGGTTTATTTTTATATTCTGCTGTTACACCACTATCCTAGGTAAGGGAGTGTTGAGCGCTCGCAAACATGTTTAACCATGACATATTTTTTTATGTGACTGTCCCCAGTAAGGATCATGTAAATCTGAGGTAATCATTTGTTTCCGTGTGTCAATTTGTATTTCGTTTAAGGTTTTAGCACAGGACATCGTGTTGCTTTTCTAATTTTAAATTATTTCATTTTGTCATGTAAGGACACTTTACGGTAAGGGTTTTGCTCATTGTTGAATGTCATACGAAGACCTGTAGTTTCTTACATGCAAGTCATTTGGTCTCTAGTGGATAAGTGTTTTATTCGAAATCATACTACTCTCCTTGTCTCATAGGAGTCTGAATCGCTTATTTGACAAATTATGACATATCTTTTTTTTTAAATGTTTATAGTTTTGGCTAGCCATAAAACCAGGTTCAACCCACCATTTTTTCTTAAAATGTCCTGTACCAAGTCAGGAATATGGCAGTTGTTATCAAATAGTCCGTTTCTATGTATGTTGGCGTTTGTTTTTGTTGCATTTCACTGTTTCTGTTGTTCCGTTGTTTTCCTCTTATAGTTGATGTGTTTCCCTCGGTTTTAATTTGTAACCCGGATTTGTTTTCTCTTAATCGATTTATGACTTTTGAACAGCGGTATACTACTGTTGCCTTTATTTGGGTATCTAGGTCAAAATTCTGAACAAGATTAAAGTCCCCACAGATTAGACACAATTGATTTTCAAAATAGTCTAGGATTTCTGTTAATTTGTCATAGAAGCAGGGAGTATCAGTATTCGGCCCATACACATTTATCAAAGTAAATCTCTTGTCTTCAATATTAATATCCTATCCCAAGAGATTGTCATCCTCATCTTTTTTAACATGGTGTTTTTTATATTCAAGATTATTTTTAAACAGGATAGCAACTCCTCGCTGATTAGAAGCATAAGAATATTGAAAATGATTGACCTTTCCACTGGTTTCTTATCAGGGTTTCATCTGGTTCTACAAAGTGTGTGTCTTGAAGACAATATATAATAAAATCTTTTGAATACAGATAATTGAAAATGTCCCCCTTTTTTCTCTCATATGAAGTCCTTGACAATTATGAGACTTTATTTTAATAGTTTTACCCTCCATCAAGATAATATGTCTTCAAACTATTGAAAGTGGATATTTGCCAACACAAAGAAATGTTTAGTTTAGTTGAGATATCAGGACTGTTTACATAATATCATTTGCTTCAAGAATATATCATATATATGCCAAGTATAAAAAATCCATATTTTATATAAAATATATACATAAAATAAACAAAAATAAATGAAAAGGAAACACATTTAGAAGATATAATATGATACTAAAATATTTCATATTCTAATGCAGATTTACATTTGTGGTCAAGGGGATATAACTTTATTTTTTTTATATATTTAAGCTTTAGTTGTATATTGATCTGCATCATAATTTGTAATACATGTCATTATCTTGACACCTTTATCATATAGTCTTAATTCAAATTAATAAACTAATTATTCGTTAAATAATCAATAGGATTAATACGGCAAAAGAGAAGAGATCACACAAGAAGCACATTATCACAAAACTGTCCATTGTTTTGTGCTTCCTCATCTGATCTGGTCAAACTTGCCTAATATTTATAGCAACATCACTACAGCATGCGAGGTGTCATCTTCAATTCGCAGCTTAATGTTAACTTACACAATATGTTATAAAGAAAGATAAAAGAGATCCAAAAAAATCACCAACATATGATATGTCCAGTGCAGGATGTTTTGTCGATAATGTCAACATCGCAATGTCTACTTTATCGTGTCATTATTGTGTTTACATTGTATCCTATCTATATATATGTTCTGTACCTTTGTGTTTACATCGTTTTCATCGTATACATAGTGATGTTGATAATATCGTGTTTAAATCGTTCACATCGTCAACATCGTATTAAGGGTGTGTACCAAGTCTACACTTTTGTGTTTACATCGTTCACATCGTATACATCGCAATGTTAACAATATCGTGTCAACATCATGTTTATGTTATATATAGAGTCTATACCTTTCTGTTTACATCGTTCACATCGTATACATCGCAATGTTAACAATATCGTGTCAACATCATGTTTATGTTGTATATAGAGTCTATACTTTTGTGTTTACATCGTTCACATTGTATACATCGCAATGATAACAATATCGTGTCAATATCGTGTTTATATTGTATACAAAGTCTATACCTTTGTATTTACATCGTTCACATCGTATACATTGTGATGTTGACAATAGCGTGTCAACATCGTGTTTATGTTGTACATGACATCTGTACCTTTCTGTTTACATCGTTCACAACGTATAAGCCGGAAATGTCACATTATGTACAGTTGGAAAGCAGGTCACGGTTTGACCCCAAATCTTTCAGCAACAATAGACGTCACGTGACCGTGAAAATTCAGCAAAACTACGGATGAGACAAACATCATTTTTACTCACTGAAGTACAACTGTCATGATAAAATCTTATTGATCAAAATAATCTTGAATATACATAGTTTTATCTCGTCAAAATTTACACATCATCTCAAAGTCCTTCATTCTTCATTTTATCTTCAAACTTGAAGTTTGTATGACAATTGTCAAGTCTCCTGATCGAAAAATCTAAATATTTTCGAGGAAACTAAAAATGATGGGCTGAATTTAAATTTGATGAAGCATCTCATTAAGACAAACACTCGATATGAATATCTAGGCAGTAGAGTTTTGGATACGCAAACGTCAAGTTGTTTTCAACACGAAGCGGTGGTTTTTTGCCGATTTGTGCAAGTGGTTATCTCCACTTGATATCACTTGTCAAAAATAAAAATTCAGCAAAATGAATAAAAAGGAGTTAACTTTACACAAATTAAGAAGAAAATAAATCAAATTCGATTTACCAGTATGTTATTATAATATTGATAAGAGATACTTCCCTACTTTCAGAGAAGGATTAGAGTAAAAAAATTAAAGACAAAAAAATGGTAAAAATTCAGAAATTTAGCTGAATTGATATAAATTAGCTCTGGCTGATGAAATTTACTTTGTCATTTTATAATGGGATCTGGGACCACTCTTAGTAGATTTTTTTTAAATACTTCTAACATTGTTTAATGCAATAAAACATACTTTACACAATTTAAATAATCTTTCTGAAATAAAAATAATAAATAATACTGATATTTAAATTTAATATTCTATAAAACAGTAGTACCACGAGACAAAATTGTTTTTTCAAAGTAATAAAGCCTTTTAGCTCAACCTTATGTTTTTTTTTGTTGAACAGTAATGTACTGCCTAGAAAATATCCTACAGAAAAAGGATAAGTTTACCAAAAATATTGACAGAAATTCTGTAAAAAATAATACTTAAAATTATTTATAGTGATATAATTTTGAATTT